AAAAAAGGTGCTAGTTTTGTAAATATTTTTGGGCGGGTGCTAGTTTTGTAATTTTTTTTTTTAAAGGTGCTATTTCTGGAAAAAACTCGCAAATATAGCACAAAATCAATCACAAATGGCCAAAGATGATGATTATGGAATACAAACACCTAAGAAAGAAAATGATAAATAACTATGATTTAAGTGTTGTCAGGGGGTCAAGTGGTAACACATGAGTAAAAGATCCTTCGCACCTTGGATTCAAATTTTGCAGGCAAGTTTCTATAACAAAATGATACTGTTTACTTGAGAGAAAAAAAAAAAGGACTGGAGTATGGGGGAAAAGATGTTAAGGTGGGTTCATGAGAGTAGCATATGGACTATGAATGTAAGTATGAATAGTTCCTGGGTACGGAGGCATGTTCTGAAGACAAGGCCAGTGCTGCAACGCCACTTTAATAGGCAAGGTTATGTTGTCTACTGGGGATTGTACCAATGCAGTTAAAAACGCGATTCTACCTAGAAGCGAAAAAGGGGTAAAATCGTAAAGCGTATAATCAAAGCGTAAAAGCGTAAGTTTTTAACGCATACTGAAAAATAACTAAAAATCTATTAAGTAGGACATATGCTATGCAAAATATGAATGCACAGAATTTAGTTAAGTTAATAAATACATGGGATTCATGCTTAAAGTAGAGCAACTTATAGCATCTTAATAATAAGTTCGTAAACATAAATTTTAACGATAAGCCACTTTTCCCTCTATGCTAATGAATTTAGAAAAAGCCTAGCTGGTGAATTAGATTACTCTATTGAAGTTGAGAATGCATCCAAGTACCTAGTATGTATCTTTTAATCTCAAATGTATCATATTGTTAGTGATTTACTTAAAAAATATACTTTTTATAATTAATTTCATGAAAAGAATACTCATTTGGTGAACTAAAAGCGTAAAAACGTAAAGCGTTTTGGTGAATTAGAACCGTAAAACTGTAAGTTTTTAAACTTTATAGCGCAATTTAGTCCGATTTTATGCACTTAAGTTTTTATATGGAAATGAAAGCGTTTTGGTTACCCAAAAGCGTAAAATCGTAAGTTGTTAAGTTTTAAAGCGCGATTTTGACTGCATTGGATTGTACAATAATGAACAAGTTTAAAGTATTCAGTAGAGTGAAATTCCTTGAAGTTTAAACATCTTATGGTTGATAGGGAAGTGTTTATCTGGACTAAAGGTTATGTTCCACGTAATAGCTTTAATTCCTCAATGGTTAGTATGGATGAGACTTTCACGAAAGAGAAACTGATTCGATGAGGGAAAACTACAGATGGTGTGTGCCATAGGGGTCGTTTGGATGAGGAATTGTAACGAATCAATTTGACACAATTGTGTCGTTTTATTGTCCAACTCAATTGGGTTGAGTATGAAATCTAAATAGATGGTAAATGGTAGAATTTGATGGGTTTTATCCATATGTAAATTACAGTTCAGTACCTAAACTTAATAGATCTTTAGATTTATAACCTAAGTTTATTTTTTGGCATATAAGTCCTCATAATATTTGTGGAATATTATATTTAGTACCTAAATTTTTTGTGTATTACATTATGGTACCTTTTGTATGTGTAATTAAAACATCCAAGAATAAATGGGTATCCATACCCAACTCATACACATTTAGATTATGGAAGTAAATATCTATACCCTACCCTAACTCGTATATATGTCACTCATACAATACCCATAATCAATGGGTCTATTTGGATTTAGGTAACTATAATTTATTAGCCAAATATTTCAAACAAATTTGAATTATTAATCAAACTTTTTGAAATACAAAACATTAGCCGAATCTTTTGTAATGCATCAAAATCTTAGTTATTTGTCTGTTATCGTTAATAATTTGGTACCTCTTTACTTAGATAAGTACTAAAATTTTGGATGTTGACCTCCATATATCTCTTATGAAACAATATCATATTGTCAAGTCAATATTACTAACAAAATTTCTAACAAAAAATTAATTTTAGACTAATAATACTAACAAAATACCATAACGAGCTACATAATACATGCCGATAAACCATCTCCACCCGCAACAAGGCGCGACATCGTCATTACTAGTTAAAATTGGATACATTGTCATTTTTGCAAGGCTGCATGGGAGGACACACTTTGTGTAGTCTCTGATCTATGCAAGAGGACGATAATAGTTGGACGACTCGCCATTCTCATGCGGTGTCTAAGTACGACTTTATTATGGAGAGAACATTGTTGCAGGGTTCATGGACAGGTCCCCGGATCTGCTGAGAGTATAGGAAATCAACTATCTTGAGATTTGCTGTCATGAGTTTTGGCAATATGAACTTGTGAAATGATATAGAGGATTTTAATTTTGTAGCAATTTAGAGTCAACAAAGTAATTTGGTAGAGGAATTGACTTTATAATTTGGGCTCCTCATCTTGAACTTTCCCATTTCGTTGTATCAAATTTCCATATGCACTTTGTATATGGTTTCGAGAAATAGATAGGGATGGCATTTTGCACGGGAGCTCCGGGTACTCGCCCGAAACCCGCCCGTGTAGTGCCCAAAATACCAGTCCGAGTCGGGCAAACGAAGGATTCGGTATGCCCAATACCCGACATCAGCGGGGCACTGGTGTTGGCGGATTTTGGGATATCCGCCCCGTCCCTGCAACGACATCGTTTTGAGCACTCGTATATAACGACTTTTGGAGACTGAAACCCTAATCTCTGCACTTTCCCTCCCCCTTTCCGAGTCTCGACTCAACCTTCCTCTCCCCTTTCTCTGATTCTCTCCGTCTTTTTCACTTCTCTAGAGAGAAATTCTCTCTAATTTACGATTTTTCGCTGATTCCCCACAAAATCCGCTCAATACAACTGTTAGGCCATCATTATCCATCGAATTTGGCTAATCTGAAGCTAGTTTCGCACCATGCAAAATCCTAAAATGACACTTTCGATCTTCGCTTTGGAGTTATTGGGAGAAATCGTGGATAATCCACTCATCGATATTAGTTCTTTCCTTTTCCTCTCTTTCTCCGTTTCAAATTATTCTTTCTTCTATAAATTAACCACGTTGATTGATTGTATGGGTCATTGGAGTCTGGAAAGTTTTAGTTCTTTTGTTCTTCTGCATTCTGCACATAGCACAATCAAGGTAAAGAACACTCGAATTTTATTTTTACGAATAAATTAGCTAGATCTTCATCAGTGTATGTAGTCTAATGCACATTTGTTTGGTTGTTTGTTGGAGATCATCAGGTTCTCATTATTAGGCCTCGGTTTACCATCTACATTATGGAATATAAAGCCTCCTTCTCCAGTTCTCTAGATTACAGGTTAGCATAGCTAAACTCCACGGCTCCAAATTGTATGTGTTTGGTCTTAGAGGTTGACAGGTTGTGTACATTGCAAGTGTTAGGTCTTAGTGGGTAGGGTTTGACGTTTGTGAGTGTTCTCTGTCTGCTGTCTGCTTGTATCTGATTAGTGATTAATTAGTGTTATCTTCTTCATGTCAGATGGACAACCCAAATGATGTTGTCAATCTGAATGCTTCTCCTGTGCCTGGTAATCAAAACAACCAACCTGAAATTGTTGGTTCTGATGGTAATGGTATAGTTAGTAAATACTCCGTTTAATACACGTATATGTACCCGTACGTACTTTATCCGTTTAAAACTTCTGTATCCGTATTATTGTCAAGATGTTTCATTTTTCCCCGTTCATTTGATGGCTCCCGTACTAAACCCGTATAAAATCCGTATAACACGTTTATTATCCATATTTTACGAATTAAATTGTTAACTTTAATATTATTTATATATTTATTTATTTTTAAAATGATTAATTTTATATATTTATGACTATTTACGTACTATTGAACGTAACTTTAGCTTAGAGATGAAGTATAATACCCGTACGTATTTTTTACGTAACTTTCCCGTACCGTATTTTACTAATTATAATGGTAATGATAATCTGGATGGTAATGGTAATCTGGGTAATGGCAATGCTGTCTTGGCTAATGAAAATGAAATCGGTGAACTAATTCTTGAGGAGAAAGGTAGAAAATTGACTTTTGATGTCTGGCCTCATTTCATTAGGGTTAATTTGAATCGAGTTATTAAAGCTAGGGGTAAGTATTGTCAAAAAGCACTAGGTGGTGATACTAGTAATGAAGCCTCCCACCTGAGGAGCCATTACAAGACATGTATCCAAAGAAAGATCCATGATGGTCGACAAAGAGTTCTTGTTCCTAATTACAAACCAACCACAAACCCCTTTCTATCTGCTACTCAGTTTAATTCTGATGTGTCTAGGAAAGAGTTGTGTTCTATGATTATGGTCCATGAGTATCCTCATTTCACTTGATTAAGGAGAGTGTTGTGTACTGCAACTCTACACCTAAGAGGGTCTAGACCTTCTTTGAGACTGTTAAGCAGTTCAAAATGTCTTGTGCCAAAAAACTTGTGCTTGATTGTCCAACAAGGTGGAATTCAACCTATGAAATGTTGTTTGTTGCTATTGTATACAGAGATGTGTGCTTTCGTCTAACAGTGGAAGATAGTTAATACACTACTTTCTCTACTAATGAGCACCGGGATTTTGCTGCCATTGTCATTGATAAACTGAAAATTTCTAGTGAGATTACATAGCTCTTTTTTGGTACCAAGTATCCCACTGTTAATATGTTTTTGCGTGAGATTTGTGACATGAGATTGAGTTTGCTTGATTGGTGTGCTGATCCGTGGCCATAATCTTTGCTATGGCTTGAAATATGTGATTGATGTTTACCAAGTATTGGGATGATATACATTTGGTTCTGGCAGCTTCATGTGATTGAGTATTATGCTAGTAAGTTTGGCAACACTAATACTGACTTGGTGGCTAAGAATATAAAGGGAATGATTTTTAGTTTGGTTCTGGATAACCAGACCAAGGCTGAGAAGAATTTTGATTCTTCTTCTTCGCCTTGTTATGGTAATGGCAGTAGTTCAGTTACTGCCAATAATCTAAATTTTGATATTTTTGTAAGTCAAAGGAAAAGAAGCAAAACAACTATGATTACTACTGAGTTGAACCACTATCTTTTTAAAGAACTCATTCCTCATCGATCTGTTGATTTTGATATATTGATGTGGTGGAAACTCAATGGTCTTAAGTCCCCCACTTTGCAAGCAATTGCAAGAAATTGCAAGAAATCTCTTGGCCATACCAGTTACATCAGTGGCCTCTGAGTCTGCTTTAGCTCTGTTGAGAGGTTATTAGACCCTCATCGGAGCAGGCTGCACTATAGTACAGTGGAGACAATAATGTGTACCCGCAGCGGGATCATGGAAGATATGCAAAGAAGTAATATGAAATTACTCTATTCTTCCTATGTGTTTAATCTGTAACTTTACTTTCTAATCGTTTGCCTTTGTTTTGATGGTCTACAGAATCAGAAGCTGATATTGAGGTCATGGAAATGAGTATTTACAGCTTTGTTAACTGAAGACTAAACCGCTAAAGATAAAAAAGAGAATGGGGCAAGTTACTAAGTTGATGGTTCTTTTAGTTTCAATTTTCTTCATTATGCGACATGAACTATCCACTAACAACTTTTTTTTTAATGTTTGTTCCAAATGAAGAGGACCTTGTGATGATCAAAATTCTACCTAGATGATTGACAATGAAAGCTAGAACCAGTGGAAAGGTATAAAGCATTAAAGCTTCACTTGGTCCTTGCTTCCTTTGATTACAATCGACTGATTTCCATTCTCATGTTCTATTTTGATTTAGAAGGACTGTTGCTGAATGGTTTTGCTCATTGGGATGCATTTGGGGGATCGTTTATGTCACTAAGCTGTTTGCCTTTAGAGTTTAGTTTGATTGAGAACGATGGTGTTCTGAGGCTGATTGCCTATGTTTTTGTGAGTGTTCCATTTTATTTTTGGATGAACTTCAGAACATGACTACATGAGATGACATATGGTTTTGGGTGGTGGGATATCGACCGTAGCAGCTTGTTTGCTTGTTGCAACCTATTAGTAATTTTGATGTAATGAAAATCTGGGTGCTGGGTGGTGGGAGGGTTACAGCTCCTAGAGCCTTCCAGCAGTTTTGAACATAAGGTTTTTCAGTTCAAATGAAGTGTGAAGTATTTTCAGGAACTATTTGCCTTTTTTATATTTTTTTTGGTTATGAACGGGGACCCGTGGGCTACCCGAAACCGCTGGGTGGTGGTGTTGGTATGTAATTTTCATCCGATAGGTCACGGGGACCGGGAAACCCGACAAGGATAAAGGACGGTGAACAGGGGTTATGTATCCATCCCCAATCCACCCCGTTGCCAACCCTAGGTAACTGATTGAACGAGAGAAAAAAAAGAATAGGAAATTTTCAAAATGCCGACTTTACGAAGAAAGTTCATAATATATTTTTATATAAATTATTGAAATTAGTGCATGAGACCATACGAAATAATTAGTTTATTACATGAATATTATATTACGAGATTCATGATTCTTAAGAAAAATCATACAATTTATTCATTTTTAACATCTATCTATGAAATATAATAAATATTTTCTTATTTACACTACACAATTTCAAATCTTCTGATTTCTTACATGACCAACCAAACTTTTTTCTTAACTCCTTTTTTCTTTTCTTTTATTCGTAGATCAAATAGTCTAAGTTGAAATTGAAATTTTTAATTTTAGTTTCAAATAATCTAATTAGAATCCGCTACATAGTACACTCTCTTATTTTTCAATTCGCCTAATGTTCTTAAGGGAATTGGAAGGGTTGGGTTATATCTAGTCTGTTATTTGGATTCTTATATTTCTGTTCTAGTTTTTCTTCACTGTAAGTAGTTTTGACTCTGGGGTATAAGTGGGGAGGGATTGTAGAGGTAGTAGTTTTGGCTTTGGGGTCTTTGAGGCCCTCTCTCGTTGTATCGGTTTCGTTTTGAGCAATAAAAGAGGCTGATTCAACGGGAAAAAAAGAAACTAAAATTGTATCACAACATTCAATTTGTACCATAACATGTTTTTTTTTTTTAAAACAAAAGCAGGTACAAATTAAATTTATATCATAACATGTTTCTTTTATAAATGAAAGCAAGAATAGTAATAACGGCATAAATACAACAAATGGGAAAGCCACAACTGGAAATTTATCAATCCCAGAAAGGGAGGGAGGGCATTGACAACATAGTTTGGGAAGTTTATCAAAGTATGCAACGGACACATAAACTATTGTGATGTGTTGACAGTGTCGTGTCGTGTGCTACCTTAAGTTTAACCTTGACTTTCAGGCAGGATAAGAATGAATATTGAACCTTTTGACCGAATGGAACCCTTGAAAGTGATACAATCATATTTATCCTGCAAGCAGCATTCTTTTGGCCTTTTCTTGGTATTATTAAGTAGGTGAGCTTATTTTTTGACTTTGTTTGCACTAGTCCAACTTAACTAATTTTAAATGCATGAAGCAAGGAATTTCAGGGAATACTGCAAGCTATTGGGTTTATTTCAGTAAAAAAAAAAAAAAAAATCCGCCTTACTTCCTCTGTCATAAATAGTGATAGTATTATAACCAATATGTGTTTTGAATAGTTATTTTATATCAAAATATAACAAAATAAATATCATTATAATATTATATAGATCTTAATTAATGCTTTGTTTTTATATAAAATATTTGAATTTGGAGTTAAAATGAAAGACATATGCCTCGATTAAAAAAATGAGAGATTAGACAAAAATAATTTTTGATTTGTCAAAAAAGCTTCCATGTATCCTCTGAATTTCGTATCAGAAAAAAAGACAAAGGAGTGCCGGATGTTGAGTCTGATTTTGAGCCATTAAATATAATTAAAATAGAAAGCTAGAAATATGATTTAATATGATTTTGTAGTATAAAATTTGGTGCCCTTTAATTTCCCAAATGGAAAGATTCACTAGGAGGAAATAGTGTATGATTTTCTGATATCTCCCTATTCTACACATTAGTCAACTACTATATAAGATTCCGAATCCTTATGTGAAAACTCTAATCAACCAATAACGCATACATTTTCTACGGGTTATGCATACTTTCTATAAGATTCCGCAATAATTATAATATATGCAAAATGAATTAATTATAAAACACGCCGCCGATGAATAATGGTGAGGTCCAGGGAAGGATTACCAACCACCAAGTACTAATTGGCAAATGAGATTTCTTGTGCCTGTAGGAATTTGGATGGTAATTGTAACCTTCCATTATAATTAGGAACGACAATTAAACCCGAAATTATTGGTGTCGAACTTCCTGACTGACTATATGTAGGAAATTCAAACACTGATTGAGTATATTGAATGACTAAAAGGGAACACAATACCAAATACGGTATTTTAAACAAAAATTGCACTTTAAATTCATACAGAGGGGGCCTCTTTTATGCCAAGGCAGATAAGAGAGACTTTTTCTTTTCTTTGTGGGCTATGCTAGGCCATAGTTGAAGGCCCACTATTTCCAAGAAACAGGCCAGAGCGCTGAAGAGCCCACACGACTGGACCTGGGCCCGCTAGGAGAAAGAAAGAGGATACTGAGTAGTATGGTTCAGCTTTCGGATGCAGCTGAACTGAACTGTTCACGAGTAGTTTGGCATAAGCTCAATTTAGTGATTTGTTGAGTTTAACTCATAATCTAACTCGTTTTTAATTTTATGATATATCTCAATATTGTGGCTAGCGAAGAAAGAGTATTGTCTATATTTTCCTGCATGATAGATGCATGGTTATGCTTTAAGGTGTGTTGTACTAGCAGACCAAGAATCCTTTTACCGAATGAATATCCTTTTTGTATGAAGTGTTTGTTTGATTTTTCGAAATATTTGATTGAGAACATGATTTTTATTATTATTTAGATTGAGAGCATGGTTTATTTTTTAAATTAGAGGGTTCCAGCCGACAAATGCTCACTTATTAGCATGTCAAATTATTTTTTTCAATTGTCAAAGGAAATACCGTTGTTTCAAAAAATCTGTTGTCAGTCAGTTGAACAATTCAATTATTGAATTTAACATTGGTTTCTTACGTTTACCATCGATTTTTAAACGACACAAATTGTACCGATAACTGATTTGTCAATTTATTAAAATCGCCCATAATAAATTTAGTGTCAATAGATTTGCCGACGGACATGGTTGACACATTGATAATCATTTTATCGTCAGTTAAGACGACAATATACAAAATGTATTCGAATTTTTTGGAATAAATAATTAGATAAATAATAATATCCGAATCAGAAAAATTGGGTGCTATCATATAGCTTTGTACCGGCTAAGTTCACGATTTGGAGATAAGCGGATTCGATAAATATACTAAAAAACTGACGGTATATTCCTATTAATGTTGTAGTGGTATTATATAGGAGAAGGAAGGGAAAACAGCTTCCTGTCATAGGAAAATTGGTTTGACAATTTACAAATAAATAAACAAATAAAGTATCAAATGATCACCACTACTCATGGATTCTAGAACGAGCCACTATCAATAAAATTTGTAGAGATTTGATGAGGTTAGGTGGGATTACGTACTAGTGCTTAGTTTGTGGGGTTTTATTTGTTGTGAATAGTTCTTAATCTATGATGATTGTGCCTATATACGATATTTATACAAGCAATCTAGTAGCTAGCTAGGCACATCTATAGAGTACATATGAGCAAATGGAATTATAAAAACTTGTCAAATAAATATGAATCATTATCCTTGAAGCCCTCATTTCGGTTGCACACATATATTCTCAATCATATCTCTATGTCTAATACAGATTTCTCCATAAAAAAAAAAATATCTCTATGTCTAATACTCGTATGCACAGATAACACTCGTTAAATTATTGTGTCTGGCGCATTTCCAAAGAGGGCAAATGGATAGAAAAACAGATGCATCATTAATTGGGCATGATTTATGAACCATGAAGAGGAGTTGCTAGTGGAGTTTTTTTTATACCGGAAAGCGAGCCTCGAACAACATCCTAATTCTAGAATCTAGCAAGTAGCAACCAAGGATGAGTTAGCTTTTTTTAAGGAGTTAGAAAAATGACACTCTTATTAATTATAGTTATTTTGGATATTGTTAAGAAACTAAAGGAATAGATAAACAACTATGAGAGAGTATGAAGAGGAAAAGACATAAGGTAAAAGAGAGGGGAAGAGTTATTCTTATTCATCATATTCCTTTGTACAATGGGGAACTCTATTTATAGGTACATATACATAACCTTCACATTCTCCTCTATCAATGCACATAAAGGTGATATAATAACCATGAAGAGGATTCATTTCCATGATCAATGTAGGGAGGTAATTACCTCATAATGTAACATCTCATATGGAATCCAAAGTAGCATCCAATGGACATCCACCATACTATATTGTTTCATAACACTGCCCCTTGGATGTCCATCTAT